GTGTGTGTGTGTGTGTGTGTGTGTGTGCGTAATGCGGCTGTTCGCTCCGTCGGGTCGCGCTTCGGGTTGCGGTTGTGGCTTATCCGGCAAAAAAGTGTAAAGCCGGAATTTTTGACGCATTCTAAATGTTATGCCGTCCGTTACAACATCACGCGATTTTCGCATCTCCGACTCCCGCACTTGTCGCCGAAAAGCGAGGCTCATGTTGGACAATCCTCCTTCGACCCGGCACACTTCCCGACCACGTCTACCTGCCCCATCACAAGCTAGGTGACATGTCGCGCCCACCCGAGCTCGACCGCAACCAGGATGCTACGTGCTACATTGGTAACCTCGACGAACGCGCCACGGACGCCATCGTGTGGGAGCTCATGATCCAGGCGGGTCCGCTCGTCAACCTCCACCTGCCCAAGGACCGCATCTCGCAGACGCATCAGGGCTACGCTTTCGCCGAGTTCCAGACGGAGCAGGATGCAGACTATGCGTGCAAGGTCATGAACGGCCTCAAGCTCTACGGCAAACCCATCCGCGTCAACAAGGCCTCCAACGACCGCAAGCAGATCGACATTGGCGCCAACCTCTTTGTCGGCAGTCTCGACCCGGCTGTAGACGAACATCTGCTCTACGAGACCTTCTCTACATTCGGCACCATCGTCGGGCTGCCCAAGGTGGCACGCGATCCGGCGACGGGAGAGCCCAAGGGATACGCCTTTGTGTCCTTTGACAGCTTCGAGGCGGCGGATGCTGCGGTCGAGGCGCTCAACGGCCAGTTCCTGCTCAACAAGAACATCACCGTCGACTATGCGATCAAAAAGGACAGCAAGAATGGCGAGAGGCACGGCACTGCCGCCGAGCGTCTGCTGGCTGCACAGGCTCGCAAGAACAATGCGCTGCCCACACAACAGTATCCGCCAGCACCACATGCCTTGCCACAGCCGTACGCGCAACCACCCCAGAGTAACGGAGCGCCACCGCCGGCGTGGAACGCATACCCGCAAGGCGCACCTGCGCAACAGCCTGGCGCCTACGCACCTCCCATCAACATGAACCCCGCTCCCCCAGCCTATCCACACTATCCGCAGTGATATTGCACCATCCCCCCGCTCTGTACTTGTATCTCGCACATCACATGCATCTCGTCTTGTGTACAATCGCCATCTTTCGTTGCAGTCAGTCAGCGTCCTGTAAGCAGCGGCTATCGAGTGCCACCTTGTGTGCATCCTGAAAGCGCCAAAACTTGTTGAGCTGGCGCCGCGATTCGAGTGATCTTCAGTCGTACACTGTAGTCAAACGTTCGTGGGCAGAGTTCAGCGTCGATGTACCATCTAAATTGGCAGCGTAGATTGCGAACTTACCGTGAACAATACCGTACCAGAAGGTCCACCAGAGGATAAAGCTGAATGCATTTTCGGTCAGCCCACTGACCAAGAACGCGGCGGTGTCCTGTGTTGTAAAGCTTCCTGATCTTGGGTCGATCTTCACCTCCCCGGTCTTTCCCTTTGTGGTCGTTGATAGTGGTTTGGACGGTGGAGAGGGCGTGATAAAGTACTTGCTCGGCGTACGATTCGCGTTGACCACCAACACCAACACATTCGTCACCAACACCGAGATCGCATAGAATCCAAAGCCGAGCCAGTTGGTCATACCCAGCACTCCTGCTACCGAGCCCGCTACGGAAAGCGCTGTCGATCGAACACTATCGTAAATCCCCGCACAAAGATCAAAGGTCAGAACCGATTCGAGGGGAAGCGAGTAGCGATCAAACTTACTACTCGACCTGCTTGCTGTTATGCGCAACGTTCTCGGGATAGTACGACTGCGCACGAAGCTGCAGTTCTTGCTCTTGGATCAGTGCAGCTGCCGACATGCTTGCGCTCGACCGTGTGATGTGATGTGATGCGATGGTGGTGGTGATGCGTGCAGAAAGAGTGTTGCTTGCCAGCTACCGCTCGACGCACAGACGCGCCTACTTCCTTCCTATGCGCTCCACCTAACACGCCTGGCTGATTTTCGCCCGAGAGAATTTCCCTCCCGCCCTTCCTTCCCCAAACCGCTGCTCCACCGCTGCTCCCCCTCCAACTCACCACCTCTCAAACACAAGAGCATCCTGCCGCCCTCACACAGCTTGTTTCGTCGCATGCACACCTTCTCAGGAAAGTCGACCAGTATCTTCTCTGCATTGTAAGAAAAGGTGCCGCAGTATCATGCCGTCATGCTGCTGATCCGCCGACTCGTTCGACGTGTCTTGGCCTGTGAACCGCCCAGCGTCGGCCCATCGTCGTGAGACGCCTTGTACGTGCTCCTCGGCGAGCTCGACGGCGCCGCTGACGAGCGCGACGACGGCGACGACGATGCTCGCAGAGGCGAAGAGGCGAGTTGCACCACTTGCTCGATCTCTCCCGTCAAGCTGAGCAGCTCCTTGCCGGCAGATACCTCATCCACCACCGAGCTAAAGTCGATCCCAAGCCCCATCGGCGCAGCGGCGGCTTCCTTGGTCCTGACGGGCATGCCCGACGACATGGCCCTCGCCACTCTGGATGCAGCAATCGTTGCAGCCGAACTTGCAGCCAGAGTCCCATTGGCACCTACTCCAGACGATGCTGCCGTCGAGGAGGTGGACCGCACCGTGATCCGCGGCGTCGAGGTCACTCCTGCCTTGTCGCTGCCCCTACGTAGGCTCGGCATCGATCGTGCGGGCTGCGGTCGTGCGCCGGGCATCGTTGTGCTCTGCGTGCCGACTTTAGGCGTGGTGTCATCCCTCGACAAGGAGCCGGCTGTGCCTGGCCTTCGCGCCGCATTCCCAGAAGAGGTAGCAGTCGTCGACGTCTTCATCGACGTACGCGTCGAAGAGGAGAGCTGAGTGCCTGCACTTGTGCTTGATGTCACCGAAAGCGCCGGGCTCGAGCGCCCGCTCGATTCCGAGGCCAGACTGCTGGCCGAGGGAGTGGGGCGAAGCATCGGTGTAGACGTCATTCGGGGCGACTCCCTAAAAGTCGGAGTGGACGTCGGAGGCAGTCCCTTTGCGCCGATCCGTGGCGTCACCTGACTCGCGCCCGTTTTGCTTTGGCTCGTGAGCGCAGAGTGCAGGCTTGCGCGGTGTTGTGCAGTCGAGACTGCAGACCGAGGCGTGCAACCCGAGGGTCCAGCTGAGGACTGAGACTGCGCCATACCGGCATTGGCTGCTGTGGCTCCGGAGAAGGTGCGCGGCCGTTCCGAGCTGCTGTCCACACTCGCGGATGCGCTTACCGAACGTGAGCTTAGCAGCGCCCCTGCACTAGCCGGCCTCTGCTTGGGCTTCATGCCGGCAACAAGACTGCCGGCTGCTGCTGCCGGTGGCGGACGACCTTTGCCAAGCTCGACCGAGGACGTGTCGCTGGAAGTGACCGCAGGTGGTTGACGTGTGGCCCTCTTGACTTCGCCGGGGTTCGAGTTTTTTGCAATGCCTTGCGCCTGTTCTTTTCTGTCCAGGTCCAACTCCTTCGGACTGGCCGATTTCTCGTCGCCTTCCACCTTGGCGCGCGCAGTATTAGCAGAGGCATTGGTGGTGGCAGACTCCGGCCCGGGCCTGGTGGCCAAGACATTGTCGGATGGCAAGGCTTGCTCGACGGATGATTGGCGCGACCGCGACGGAAGCGTGGTTGTCTTGCGCCTCAATGAAGGACGCTGGGCTAGATTGCCACCGGATGAGCCCGACACCATGCTGTCGGTGGACGATGACGCGCTCATCTGGACAGTCGATCGAGAAGGCCAGGCGGAAGATTGCGGGGCTCTGGGGGTATCTGCCTGATGAGCTTCGTCGACCGTAGATAGCTCGCCCATGGCGGCTTCCAACTCGGCAAGCTCGCCCAAGTCGGCATTGCTCGTGGCTCGCGACTCGTCATCGGATGTGTCTGTGACGTTGTCCCAGAACGCATGCGGGCGACCAGACGCTGGATGAGAGGCGTTGGACTGGTCGGCGAGCATCTTGGCCTGCTGTCGGATCTCAAAGAGGTCAGCCATGCGGCCGCCGGCGTCTTCTTGTGCTGTCAACGGTTGGGCTGCTAACAATTTTGCGCGGCTGGTCGAGGCCCTTGGACTGCCAGTCAAGCGCAGGTTTGAGGTTCGCTCAGCGGGAGACTGGTGCAACGCTGCCTCCTCGTGCAATTTGCGAATGTCGCTCAGGTTGCCAGAGCTTCCGATCATGCCGCGAGCCGAGCTCGGCGTGCTGCGATTCGATCGATGAGGGGTGGTAGCAGGGATCAAGTCGCTCGGGTCGGGTTTCCTCATTTTGGTGTTGAGTTTTGGCAGGGCGTAGTTGATGCTCTTGCGTACCCTTCTTGTGCGTCCGGTGGCGGGGTCCGACTCGCTGTCGACCGGGGCGGTGGCCATGGGAGTTGCGTCCGATGATGCCGCCGTGCCGAAGAGTCGCATTGGCGTGGGGAGCGGTTCTGGCAGCTCGTGTGTCGGCACTTTGCGCTTTCGTCCGCCAGGAGTGCGCGCCTCGGATGACGACGATGCAGCTGCGGGCTCCTCGCGTGGCCACGCGTAGGGCGTGTCGGTCGTGGACGGTTTGGACGAAGGCTCTTGCGCCGGAACAGGCTCACGGCCAGTATGTTGTGCGGATGCGGCGTCCAGGTAGGATGTGCCGGCGGTGTGGTTGGTGATGTCAAGGAAAGGGGTCGGAGGATGTTGGAAGGCAGAAGGGCGGTTGATAAGAGTTGCCTCTTGGCCGTTGTACGCCAGGATGCCGTCCATCGCCTCGGAATTGGCCTCTGAGGGCAGGTACTGATCGTCGTGCGGGTCGGAGGTCGGAGGCGGAGACGATTCGCGCTCGTGGTGGGGAAAGTCAGAGGCGTTGCCTTGCGGATCATGTTCGGGTTGCGACGCGATGAAGCCGCTCTGCCTGCGACTCGACTTGCGACCTGAACGACGCAGAGCCTGCCGGTTTGAATTGTCGATGGATTCGGAATCTTGGGGTGCTGAGAAGAACATGTTGAGGGAGAGCGGCTTGGGAACGGGGGTGGCTGCGCCTCCTCGGTTCGACCAGGCCTGGGACATGGTGCGTTCAGCGGCGGCAGCGATGGCGTCTTCTAGCTCGTCGGGCAGTTGAGGACTGCCCATGGGTGAAGGAGCCCCTCCAATATCGATGATGGATGCATCGACAGTGGGATGTCGGGCGGACTGCAAAGCGCCAACAGAGTGTTGCCATGCCTTGTGATTCGAATTCGATTCTGCCGTGACGGCGTCCTCCGTCGGGCCTTGAAGGAGCTCTTCTTCGAGCCGGCCGACATGTCCGCCTGGCGCGGTGGCGACTTGCTTGACGACGGCGGCAGTGTTGGGGTTTGGCTCTAGCTTGATTCTGTTGGACGGGGGCCAGGAGAGGGGCTGTGCGTCAAAGTGAAAGCTTGGGATGGAGGCAGGGTCGGAGGTGCTGTTGGCGAAACCCTTTCCGATGAGGTGCCAGCCTGCGTATATGGATGCCATGGCGTGGTGGAGGTGGCTCACGGTGGCTTCGAGACCGACGGTGTGCAGACGAGCCTCTGCCTTTTCGGCCTCGAGCGTCTGTATCCTGTTTTCGAGCTCGCGAATGCGGAGTTGGTGGACGGCGTTGGCCTTGATGATCTCCCTGTTCTGAGAGATGTGCTTGCGTTTGAAGAGCTCAAAGTTCTCGAGGATGGACTCGATGTTGGGCATGAAGAGATTGGCGGACCGACTTTGGTCGGAAGGCTGCGTGCCGCCAACGTGTGCCATGTTGTCGGGAAGGCTGGCGCTGAGGCGGACCTCGCGGCGTGTCGAGGGCGGCATGGCGAGGCTGAGGGAGGCCGGGATGAAGAGCCGCGGTCGACCTTAGGCAGCAGGAATGGACAGCCCGGCGGTGCTGTTGTCTCGGGATGCTTGGCCAAGGTAATCAGAAGCGCGGTGGCATCTTCAATGAACCGTTCGGAGGGTGCGGAGTGGGTGTGGACGAAGACGGAGAGTGAGCCGAGATGGTGCAGAGGAGGTGTTGGCGTGAAGACGTTGTCGTAGATGGAGCGCGGGTGGATGTCGGATGCATGCGACGGTGTCGAGGCGACGATATCTGTCAAGGCACAGCGAGGATGAATGCCTGTCGTGCTGGTAGACGGAGTGGCAATCAGCGTGAGAAGGAGCAGCGGCCAGGTGCCGCGCTGTTCTCGCCCACAGGTCGCGGCTGGCTCCGGCGTTGGTGATGACAGGGGGGCGTGTCGGAAGGGAAGGCAAGGGAAGGGTGGCGAGTGGAGGCAATGGCTGGGCCTCGGTAGATGAGGCACACGAGATGGATGGCAAGAGAGACGAATGCAGTCGGCAGCAGCAGAAGCAGAACATCAGGCAGGCAGGCCCGACCATCGGCCAACCGGCGCAGCGGCGCAGCGGAGAGCAGAGGGCGAGCGCAGTGCGCAACGCCGGGTGTTGGTTTGCACTTTGCGAGTCGAAACCAACACTTTGCGCTGCTGCCGCACCCGCCGTGCCGATTTTATGGCGCGATTGCCTGCCTGTGTGTGATTTTTGACAGGCTCGCATCGGCTGTCCCGCTCGGCCGCAAGAGATGCATTGGCGAGAGAGAGAGAGAGAGAGA